ACATCAATTTGAGGGAGGGTGTTGAAAATATAAGTATCAGTTTGTAATTGTACAATAAGTCCTTGGTCATTAGGGTTAATCGAACCTCTGTATATATATACTTGTATCTCACGTGTGTACTGGCAACAAAGCAATAAGATTGACTTGGAGAGCTCTGCCTCTCCCGTGGACTAGTCCTGTTGATCAGGGAAACCACGTTAAACTCGGTGTTCGTATTCTTTGCTTTGATTTTGACAAGAAGCCTATGAAGCAGCATGTGACATAGCCAAGGGTTTAGAGTTCTATTTAGTGAGGACGACGAACAACAAAAATAGAAACGAAAATAGTTTACGGTATTATTTGAGTTGCATTCATGGTAAGAAAAGAAAGTCCAACCCTTCTAATCCGACAATTGAAAAGCGAGAATTTACTTTTTCGAATAAGGCCGAATGCAAGTTCCAGATCAAGGTTTAGCGGCCAAAAAATGAAGTGAGTTGGCTGATTATGGGAGTGACCAACATGAACGCTCTACTTGTACCTTCTTCTGTCTCGCTCGATTCTTGCGTGGATTTTTATCTTCATTTTCTTTTCGCTCTGTTGTCGTCGTAGATCTACAAGTTCGGTCTTTCATTCAATCCTTAATGATTTCAGAATTTTTAATTCTCGACATCTTAAAAAAACATACAATGATACTATTAAAAATTTAAAATATGAATTGAAGACATATTTATGACCATTTAATTAGTTCCGTATAAAGTTCAAATAATATTTTATTTCGTGTTCTTTGAATTAGTAGTAATCTTAATTTCATGGAAAAAGGGATAACGTCACGTCCTTCATTTATAAAATAAATTTATATCATTACTTTACTTTAACGAAATTCAGTGAAATTTTAAATATATATCAAGACAACAACTCTAAATACAACAAGTAAATTTTCTTCCAATTTTTATAACGGGTGTAAAAAGTTTAATCGACAACTCAAATTCAACTAAATTTGATGAAATCCTAAAATTTAACAAGATATATTCAAACTTTTCAAAATAATTAAACTCAATTTTGACCGAATCAATTTAATTATATAAACTAAACTAAAATGCATCACAACGTAAAAATTTAATTATATAAATATAAACTAAATTAATAAAAATGGAAGCTGGGCAAGAGGGTTTGACGGGGCTGCTCGCTGGTCAAAACGGATCAAAACAACAGATTGCCCATCGGCCAAACGTTGAATAAATGGTGATTAGACGGCTGGTGAAACAAGGATAAATGGCCGGTTGGGATGCCGGGTACACGAGGAAAACTTGTCGTTGTGTCAGAAACTCAGAATGGGAAACGTGGATAAATGGCCGGTTGGAAGGACGGGTGAACGATGAAAAATTCCAGGTGTGTCGGACGTACGGTGAACAAGGTGAAATGGCAGTTTGGAAGAATGGGTAAAAGAGGACAAATGATCGATTGAATGGAAGGTCAAATGAGACCAACAATTTGGTTGACGGACAGTCAAAACAGGAGTTGGGAGGACGTATCTCTGTTTCGGACGATCTCTTCACCGACGGAAGGGAAGCAGCTGCTTTGAGATTCGCCGGCCGGTACGAAAATCTTCTCTCCTTCGGACATTTCTTGCCTGAAAGAGTGCACGCAAATTAGAGCAAGTAAGAAATCTATAACACACCACCATTCCATCACACTCTCTCTCCCTCTCCCCTACCTCGTTCCTTCCTCCCCTGAAATATTCAAATCAGCGAGAGGGCAGAGCTATTGGGAATCACCAGCAACACTTCGGTCCCATTAGGAACAAATTAAATCTAACAAAAGACAAGGACTTTCCCCTCCATAACCTTAATCATCTCCTATGGACCGGTTGAGGAGTGACGGTCAGGGAGGAATCTGATCTATGGTGAGACGTGACGGCCGGCGACAGGTGGGATGAGTCAGGAACGGGGAGGATTTGGCCGACACATGGATATGGGTTGCGGAGCGACGGCCGGGAGATTCAGGGAGGAAATGGATCAATGGTGGAAAGGATAGTCGGGGGGCGGCTGGGATAAACAGAGGGTTGGGTGCAGACTTAGGGCTGCAAATGAGCCTGCAAATGAGCCTGCAAATGAGCCGAGTCGAGTTTTACCCCAGTTTGAGCTCGGCTCGTTAATAAACGAGTCGAGCTCGAGCTCCATTCGTTTATTAACGAGCCGAGTCGAGCTACCTTGTTTATTAAAATCTTAACTTTTATTTGGTACTTCATTTTGTATATCATGATACATATGATTTATTTGGTTAGTTAATCTCATCTTATACTTTATACTTTGTTGGTATCATATATCGTTTAGTTAATAAATTTTAAATACTCCAAATTATGTTATTTCATTGTATCGAAGCAATCTATAATGCATAATTTCTTTTTAAAGTAGAAAATAAGATATATTTGCTCACATACTCAACGTGCAAAACTTTATATATGGTGAGATATATAAATTAACAACCATATGAATTAAAATTATAAGATATAGATTGATTCGTCCATAAGTTGGTAATCGAGTTGGCTCTCTAGCCACATGTTAAGACATATCATGAGCTCTAAACGAGCCAGCTCACGAGTTTAGCTCAACAAGCCACCGAGAGTCGAGCTAGCTTGCGGGCTTCACGAGCTAAACAAAGGTGAGCTCGTGTTCGGCTCGTTTATTAACGAGCCGAGTTTCCAACGAGCTTTTCTCGAATCGAACGCCGAGCCGTTCGCGAACAGCTCGGCTCATTTGCAGCCCTAGCCATAAGGCACAATAAAACGATAAACTTTTGTCGCATCATTAAGATTCGTCCTACTCAACAACTAATTTGACACATCATAGTCAAATAACGTTTTAAGCAGATGAAAAGTTAACTGTTTGCTTATTATTTTGTTTAAAAATTAAAGATTGGACTGTATTGTTTTAACCCTCCATTTGTTCTCATAAACTACTGCATCTCCTAACTATTATTAGGCCTACTAATGAGCCGACTCGAGCTTTACCTTGTCCAGACTTGGCTCCTTTATAAGCGAGCTGAGCCGACTAATTTATCAGAACATTGGTTCAACAGTAAGCTCATGAGTTCGATTCAAGATTAACTCATTTATTCTAGATAGTTGAACCCTTAAACTAAACTCTGAGATAAATTAAATACCCTAATATTTGTATGTTATGTACTCATGTATGATACATGTGATTAATTGATCCCATGTTTAAACTTTGTTGGTATCGTATTATTTAGTAAATAAATTTTAAGTCCATATTATGTAATTTCATCAATAGTATCTAAGCAATGTATGATACACAATTTATCTTTTAAATAATCAAGGAGATATATTTGCTCACATTCTTAAAGTCTTAAACATCATATGAGGTAAGATATACAATTTAACAAACTTACAAATCATCGACAAGGCAACTAATAAGATATATATAGATTTTCTCAATTTCAGTAGTCGAGTTGGCTCGCTAGTTATAATGTTGAGACGTCTCATGAGCTCAAAACAAGATATTTCACGAATTGAGTTCAACAAGCCATCGAATTGAATTGGATCCCTAGATGAACGGGACTTAAAACGAATTTAACTTGTTAATAAACGAGTCGAATTGCTTTATACAAAGTCTTTATAAAATCAAACCGCTCATGAGTAACTTATCTCGTGAGCATCCCTAGCTATGAAATACCAAGTGGCCAACTGACCAATCGAGTCAGAAAAGCCCAAGTTGCTGGGCTTTAGGAAGGAACCACTCAAACGATGGGCTTCTACACGGTCCATCATCAAACGTCCCCAAGAGTGTACCAGGCCAGCAACCAGCCCACGGCTGAAGGAAACCCTAGCAGGCAGCAGCTGGCCAGCTCTACGGTTAGGTAATTACTAATTAGCTCCGTTAAGAAGAAGCAGCGGTCGTCACTCCGTCCGTCAGTAGGGACCACATTGCAAATTGATGATTGCTTTGAGGACTATATTGCCAATTGCTGATGGCTTTGAGGACCACAGCGGGAAAAGGGAAAACCAAAGCCACCTCAGAAATCGAAAAATCACCCCGACCTCACTTTTCTTCCTATTTAGTAGAAAAAGAGGAGGCACACATCAAGAAACACTGAATTGCCTATCTCACATCATCTCTCTCTCTAGGGCTCTAGCCGTATTCGACCTTTGCGCTGCTCAGCTCTTCACCCAACCGTCCAGATTCGTACTTCCTCCTCCCGACGTTTCACCCAACGTAAGCACCATTCTGTTGTTCTCGAATTATTATCATCTCGTCTCTACGCCAGGAACGATTTCTTTTTGTTCGTGACTATGGAGTGTCTGTCGCAGTTTTAGGGTTTTCGAAGCTGCTTGGTTCTTCCTACTGCCTCCCAATTGATTCGAACAATTATGGTTCTCTTGTACTCTTTCCGCTAGTTGCTAGATAGCGTTTGTTCTTTCGTCTGTCTTGTGTTTAAAGGGGTATATGAATTTCGGTTCTGGGTTTTTTTGGTAGGCAAAGCTTGCATTACGTACGAAATTATAGGTTGATTAGGAATTAGCATCACTGCTCTATTTTGCCCCACAAGCGTAGTGTACACTTTCTGGTTATTTGAGTGAAGAAGTAACAAGTATATGCTATAGCCTTGTGCTGCTCTAGTGACTCATCGTGGGTTGTTCTCCGTAGCTCTTCTATGGCTCCACACTGTAATAAGTTCCGCTGAATGGTGACTACTGTGTTTAGAAGAAGTCTGACACTTGAGTTGCAGACTTGATTGTGTCAGAGGTTTTAAAAGTGTTATGATATTTGTTTGCGAGCAATGTGATATGTCTTTTAAAGGGTTTTCCATTGCAAATATCGAATGTGCTTTTGTGTTGTTAGGAACTTATTGCAAGCAGGACAATATCTCTGTTTTGATTTGTCTTTTTGTTTGTGGTATGGATTGCTTATGTATGTTAGTTCGTAATCGTATCTCTTACATTTGCTCTTCTTTCAGACATATTAATGGTTAAGGCTTCTTGTGTGCAGTACTGATTCACAATTATGGCTGAAGTTGGCCATGACGTTGGTGAACAAGAGATTGAGCATGATGCAGTTCCTGGTCTTCAGCTTACAGGGGACCAGAGTGCAGAACATGCTATAGGTAGTGTTGGTGATACCATTGGTCTGGATCAAGTAACAGATCAGGGTTTGGATCATCCTGTAGATCAGGACGTGGATTATATACCAGTGCATGTTACAGATCATTCTCTTGATCCCAATGGTGATCATGATACAGATCATGGTGCTGATTCCACTATAGATCATGCATCAGATGGCGAGGTGGTCGTTGAACACGAGGCTGAACACAGTGGAGATCATAATTTGAATCAGGTAATTGATCACAACATTGATCAGGAGACTGTGGAGGAACCTGACCGTCTTCAGGAAGATGAAGAAAAACAAGGGCATTCAGAAGATGCTACTGGTGCCGTTGCTGAAAAAAGGTGGCCAGGGTGGCCTGGAGAGAGTGTGTTCCGGATGTTGGTTCCTGCACAGAAAGTTGGCAGTATAATTGGGCGCAAGGGTGAGTTCATTAAGAAAATAGTAGAAGAGACACGAGCCCGAGTTAAGATACTTGATGGTCCACCTGGAACGGCAGAACGAGCAGTAAGTTGGTTATATAATGTTGTGACTTGTATATTTGTGTCATTCAACTATGCTGTTGGTGTAAATGTCAGTCCGCATTCTTCTTGTTCCAATTTGTTCAAACCATTTATTGCATATTGCTGTGTCTCCCTAATCTGGGGCGAATTTGGCAGTTCACCCCTTAGAAAATACTTGTTTTTTTTTTTTTTTTTTTTTTTTGCATAACTGAATTAGTGTATTTGCATATGATCTGATTTTAGTGTATTGGCATAACTGAATCATGCCTGCTTTCTGATGATACAATAACTCATGAAGTCACACTTAGGTTTAAGATGATTAACACATTATTGAATAGATATAGGAGTTTGAGTGAAGATTGGTTAATTTTATACTCAACGGTAAAGAATAATTTACTTAATGGTATAACTGTAAAACAGAAAGTAAATAAACAAAGATACCTAAAGGTGAGCCGCTAAGGTGACTGCAAAAAGTATGGGAGGAAAATTTGCCATGGGGAATGCCTGATTTTTAACTATGCAGTGTTGGCATTCTCATAATATTAAGTGAATTTAAAAATCTGTTCCCTCACATGTCAAGTACTTCCCTGCCTCTGCCTCTACCATCTACCAAGATTAAACAATCAGTTGTGAACAACAAATTTGGAGGTTTAAGTATGTAATATAAGTTGGTGATAACCCTGCAACAGCAGAGCCGAATTATGGAGGATCAGTGATCCAAATGGAAAGATAAAAAAGGAACTAAAACTGCTCCAAAAAATTATGGCATGGTTCCTTTTATTGCAATAATGATAATGGATCTATGCAGGTTCCATTGCAAATTTTTAAGGCCACGAATCACTCATCATTAGGCCACCAATTTTGAAGAACCAAAGATCCAGATTGCAGGGATCAGCATTGAGCCTTACAAAGTGCCGAAAAGTTGATTTGAATAAACAGTCAAACAGCTGTTTGAAGAAGTTCTGCATCTCCCTGGTAACTTCAGAACTTGGATGCCTGATTTCTTGCGGCAGATTGTAAAGATCATAAGGAACACCAGTTAAAATTGGCGGTGAAGGCAAGCTGAAGATGATGTGAATTTACAACTGCTATGTAAAATTATTGAAACTTACAAGATCATAAGTCACATAAAGCAGCTAAGAAATCAGTTGTTAACATATTGAATAACATATTAAGCTTGCTAATCTTCATGCAGTGTTGCGACTAATTACTCTGGAGTCTTGACAGTTCGTCAGGATAGTGAAAAAGTACTAAAGACTAGAATGTGCTAAAAAAAGGCTTGATTGCTGAAGAACTGGTTAATTTCTTTTTTCTTTTTCTGAATAATTCTTTAGTAACCCCTTCTGGCAGATGTTGTAAATATTAAAGTTTCTCATCCTAGTGCTCATGCATTCTTTCATGTTCTTATGACCAAGTTAGTCTATATAAGCTTCCATGATTGTCTTGGTCACTTTGAATTACTTGTATGCTGATGTTCTTTGCATATCAGGTAATGGTATCTGGCAGGGAGGAACCGGATTCTTCACTTCCTCCTGCTATGGATGGCCTCTTACGTGTTCACAAACGCATTATTGATGGTTTAGAGGGTGATGCTTCTAATACTCAATCTGGAACACCTCCTAGAGTATCAACGAGGCTCCTAGTACCAGCTTCACAAGCAGGAAGTTTGATTGGAAAGCAAGGAGCGACTGTTAAATCCATACAAGAGACATCTGGGGCTGTTGTTCGAGTTCTTGGATCAGGTATATGTACATGCTTATGTTTGCATTTAACTATGTTTCACTCCTTTTGGTCATAACTGCATAAATGATTGGGTGGAACATTTTCACAAAAAAACAATTTCTTAATTGCAAGTGTTGTTTTGGTTTGTGATTATCGATGGTACTGTAGTCAGTTATTGCCGATTGACTTCCTTTTGGATATATACTTATATCCTCTTTCCATTCTCATGCACCCATTATAAACGTGTATTTGCCACTGCAATGGAAAAATTAACTTCTCAAGATATGCACTAAAATTGTGGTATGGTTCTACTTCATTCTCTTTTTGGAATCAGGAGCATTTCTTCTGGTGTCCAAAATTTATCTTTGGATTGGACTTTGTAGTGTGTCTGTGGTTTGCTTTCTTCTGAATATTGTTGGTATGATTGTTTGGAAGCCTCATTTTTCAGAAGATATTCTGCTGCTGTTATGCATTATTACATAATGATGTGGTTTGAAGCAAAGATTTCTTATTGCCTTTTAATCTTTTGTTTTTTGTGTAAACAACACAGATGATCTCCCAGTTTTTTCACTTCAAGACGACAGGGCTGTTGAAGTCATGGGAGATGCAGCTTGTGTCCACAAGGCTCTGGAGTTGATTGCATCTCATCTCAGAAAGTTTCTGGTCGACCGTAGTATAATTCCTGTCTTTGAAAATTCTGTAAGCTTCTGTCCCTTGTTACATATTGTTTGCTTGATCCCTTTTGTTGTGATAGATACTCACTGTTTCATGTTCTTTTTACTGAAGATGCAAATGCCAAATCATCACCAAATGGATCATATGCCGCCACCTCATCAATCATGGGGACCTCCACAGGGTCTTCCACCACCTGCTGGTGGGGGGCCTCCGTATGGACATAATCCTCCTCAATATATGCCGCCTCCACGGCAAGTTGACAATTACTATCCACCAGCAGACATGCCCCCACCAATGGAGAAACAGCCTCACCAAGGCATTTCTGCCTACGGGAGAGAAGCTCCTATGAGTGGTCATCCCTCGTCAAATTCCCAGGCTCCATCAATGATAACACAGGTACGCTTTTTCTCTACTGTCCTTTTATTATTCTGCCCTTAAGTTTGTTTCTTAATCATGCTTAATCACTACTAAAATACTATTAGGGCGATTCAGTTATTTGTATTTTGGAGAGTGATATTTGCAAAATCATGATTTTGAACAGAGGTAGTTTTTCATGACACCATGCATGTATTTGAGTGTATTTGAGATCTTACATGTAATCTAAAATGCATGGAAATGGTGCAATCTCAAATAAACGGGGTAAGAAAGTATTTGAAAATACATCTTAGAGAAGTGTGCTCTACATGCTTTTATTTTTCTTCCCATTTTTCTGGCGCAATTTGCTGTACAGAGATCCATTGAATCAGATGATGCTTTTGTAAATGCATCAATGTTGTGGAGACTTTAAATTTTGAGGTGCATGAAGTTTAATGCATGGAACCAATGTTAGCATCCAAAATTGTGGTTTGATAAAATCAGGTGTCTGATCTACATTGAGTAATGGATTTCTGATGTTTCCCGAGTTTGAATAAAGTTTTCTATCAATTTTGTGCGAACTGCTCGTTTCAGCTGTGCTGTTAAAGTTGAACTATATAGTCCCTAGATGTCAAATAGGGACTCTTCCCCAACGTTGATTGTCCTTATCATTTGTAGATTACGCAGCAAATGCAGATCCCATTATCATATGCCGATGCTGTTATTGGAACGGCGGGTGCAAGTATAAGCTACATCCGGCGTGCTAGCGGTGCCACTGTGACTATACAAGAAACCAGAGGTGTACCTGGGGAAATGACAGTAGAAATCAGTGGAAGTGCATCTCAAGTTCAAACAGCTCAACAGCTAATCCAGGTCAAGGCATTTTTTTGGATTCCCGTTTATTTTCATTTTAGATATACGACTCTCCAGATACCTGTTTTGATAGTAACACGCCCGCCCTTTCTGTATTTCAGAACTTCATGGCTGAAGCTGGTGCGCCAATACAAGGACAAACAGGTGGACCAGCAGAGCAAGCATATAACCCGTACGCAGGTCATGGCTCTGTGTACCCGTCGCCACCTTCCAACGCTGGACATGCAGGAGGGTACGGCTCTATGTATGGCACCAACTATGGGTACTAAGGAGCCAAATGGTCGATTCAGTCTTACTAGTGAATTGAGTTTTGGTTGTATGAGAGAAACGAAATCCTTTCGAGACAGCCATTCTAATGTTGTACTTGAAACTTGTAGCCAGCAGTTTAGAGGAGGGAAGGAGCTAGTTTTTGTTGTGTGAAAATTTAATCGGAAGAAACTGAAGTGAATTTGTTCCAACTGACAATTCGTTCTAGCCAAAGCCGACCCAAGTTTGTTATATTTTCGATTTCGTACGAACATCTTAATAATTAAGAGTGCAAATCATGTATTCTACAAAATGTCTCCTCAAAACTAGAGCTCATTTATAGCCAGATTGGTAATTGGTTCGCATAGAGATGAACATTTGGTCTTCTAACGCTTTTCTCATGTGGAAACTAACTCGCACTAGATTTCATTATACGTCAAATTTGTCAGCTATGGCAGACGCAGAGCGCATCAATGACGGAAGACATCAATGTTATACAAACCTGAAGGTCCCAGTCCCGTCGATCGCCGGAACCTCCTTCAACGGCGAGAACACTGTGTACTATCCTAAACACGGTGAGCGTGCTAATGTTACATGCCTTCTGAATAAACCAAAGAAATTAACACTAGATTCGGGCCCGTTCGTTGGCCGAATGAATTTCGTTAATTGTATAGATAAATATAGTAATTGTCCGAAGGAAGGCATATCTTATTTCATATCCTAAAAATTTCAAATCATTAAGTTTTGAAAATATTATATTGGTATAATTTTCAACATGCTAATCCACTTTATTGATTAAAGCGATTACTGAAAGTAAAAACAAAAGTCATGCAAGAAAATCGACTCCTATTAATTTAATTGGACCACACTATTTTCTCATTTCTGTCCAGAATTCTTTGAATTTTTTTTTTGAATTTCTTGTGATCGCTCTGCCTCTGCCCTCTCAAGCACCGTCATCCCCACCAATTATAATGCTTTTGTCTTCTTTAACGAAACCTGTATCTTTATAATAGGTTGTTTTTACTTTTTTTTTTATCAGAAGTCAATCTTTAACAATAAAATGTTTAAAATACTAAACATTACATGCAGTAGAATGTGTCTTGTGAACAATTTATGAGATTTCTTCTTTCCCAATGTAAACAACCCAACAACCAACAGAAAATTTTGATAATTTATAGATTTGAAACTTAATGAATAATTTGTAGGTGTTGTCTTCTTCAATAAATAAGTTTATTTTTCTTATATATTTGCATATTTTATTTACCAATTTGTAAAAATAGCTTAGGAAAGTTTAGTGGTCGACATCGACAATGAAAATAATTAAACCTACCATGAATATCATTTTCTATCTGTGGTGGTTTTATTTTTTATTTTTAAATCATGAATTAGGTGGGGAGTATCATGATTTCTAAGTTGACTTTAAAAGGATTGAAAACTTAGTCAAAGTCCAGTAAGCAAGGTGAGACTCACTTTCATAACAATATAACAAAATATTAATATTGTGGAATACAATTAAGAATTGCCGCATAGATCGGGTACCATTTTAGTAGAATTGATAGTACATGAATGCTATTATATATGATGTTATATGATGCTAGACTAACATAATTTTTTATCATCCAACCCGATGACCGGATGAATTAATTCAATAATATAAATAATAATACTAATAACTCGAACCAAATTACATTTTTTCACCATAAAATATTGAAATGATTCAATTATTAAAAATATCATAAAATGACATACACCAGAAGTTTTATAACATTTTGATCATTCATGAACAAAAGTCTTTATCAAAAGTAAAAAACACAACTCATGTAAGAAAATCAACTCCTAAAAAATCAGTATTCAAAATGCACTTCAATTTACTCTTTATTATCAGAAATTACTGCACATTTCCTTTAAAATTTTTTGTGATTGCTCCGCCATAAAAACATCTCAACAGGGCTTTGTCTTCATTAATGAAATCTTTATATTTACTATCAACAATATCTTCCTTCTTCTCTCCTATATTTCATAGGAAACCAAATTTTAGTGCTAAAACGTATGGAAATATGAAACATAATTTTCTCTTTAAAAGAAGTTACTTTATCCAAGTCATAAATATTATTAACATTCGCTCTTTCCTCCCATCATTAAAGTTTTCATATCCACCATCAACAATCTCTTCCTTTATCCCGATAACGTCATTACCTCCACCATTAAAAATTTAATGGCAAAATATTATAATTGTGAAACACCATTTTCAAGAACTTCAATATACCCAACGCATGTAATGAACTTTGTCCGAGATTGCTCTTCGTTATCTTCATTATCTTCAGAACTATGCACCCACTTATGGGGTTAGCAGTGTTGTAATTAGTGAACTTGATATGAAAATTCAACTTTATTTCATCACTTTGTAGGGGATGAGGTGATGAAATTTCTCTCATTTTGTCACTATCTTGGAGTAGTTTCTTAGCAGATGTTTAAAAAAAATGAACTCCCTCATGATCCAAAACAATAAAGTTAGATCCAACAATGTTGTGTACAACTTGCAGCTGTATCCTATCTATAAAATATCAGCATTTGAAAATATCAGCAATTGAGACACTATTTGGTCAAAAGCTTTATGTGTTACTGGTTACAATTTTTTCATCGGATGAAGTGAATTTGAAGTTAAAAAGAATAGAAAAGTAGAGGTAGATTGTTACCTAACTACTGTTGTATAACTCTTAAAAATTACTTACGACCTCATATATGTATATATATGGTCCAAGCAAGCGTACAACCTTATCGTACGCCCATCGAGTTTTGTTATTTAGACAATCAATTGACCAGAGTTTGAATCGACAATCATGATTTGTCGGAATATATGCAAAAATTACATGCACCATTTTTAGGGTGTAAGGTCCATGATTTAAATATCTAAGACATAGGGTTCACTCAATAAGAGTTAGGGTATGGTATCATGCAACAAAATTTGATCAATTCAAGATTTATATATCATTTTCTTACTCAAGGTATACTATACCTTTGATTTTATTCAAGGTATATATTTTATTCAAGCTTTATGTGTTATGGTTACAATTTTTTCCTCGGATGAAGTGAATTTGAAGTTAAAAAGAATGGAAGAGTAAAGGTACATTGTTACCTAACTACTGTTGTCTTTGATGTTGTTGTATAACTCTTAAAAATTACTTATGACCTCATATATGTGCATATGGTCCAGGCTAGCGTACAACCTTATCATACGCCAATCGAGTTTCGTTATTTAGACTTTAAATGAACGGAGTTTGAATCGACGGTTATGATTTGTCGGAATATAGGCACAAATTACATACACCATTTTGGGGTGTAAGGTCCGTGATTTTAATAAGTAAGACATAGGGTTCACTTAATAAGAGTTAGGGTATAGTATCGTGCAACAAAATTCGATCAATTCAAGATCTAGATATCATTTTCTTACTCAAGGTATACTATACCTTTCTCATTTTACTCAAGGTATATATTTTATTCAAGCTTTATGTGTTACTGGTTACAATTTTTTTCTCGACTATTGCCTTTGCCTTTGATGTTTTTATATAACTCCTAAAAATGACTTATGACCTCATATATGTATATATGGTCCAGGCTAGCGTACAACCTTATTGCACGCCCATCGAGTTTCGTTATTTAGACCATGAATTGATCGGAGTTTGAATCGACGATCATGATTTGTCAGAAAATATGCAAAAATCACATGCACCATTTTGGTGTGTAAGGTCCATGATTTAAATAACTAAGACATAGGGTTCACTCAATTAGAGTTAGGGAATTGTATCATGCAAATAAATTTGATCAATTCCAGGTCTAGATATAATATTTTTTACTAAAAGTCATGATTTAAATAATTAAGACATAGGGTTCACTCAATAAGAAATAGGGTATAGTATCATGCAACTAAATTCGATCAATTCAAGATCTATATATCATTTTCTTACTCAACGACCAATCAGTTAACAACCAAACTTACTAAGCCCTTTCCTTTTAATTAATATATTATGGTAAATAGATACAATGAATAAAATCAAATTTGGTATCCAACAGCAGGTTCCTTCACAATTCTGCAGGTTAGGCCCATCTGTTGCAAAGTAATGGGTTCATGAATTTGACCAAAAGAACCCTCCGCCCTTTGCGCAGGAGGGAGGAAAAGTTGAAATAATGGGTTTTCGGAGGGGAACCTCCATAATATTAATGGGAGGAGGAGGATTATACTCTGCGGCAGCATCCCATAGTGTTCGGGTTGGAGGATTGAGTCCAATCCTCAACATATCACCTAGCAAATCTGAGAGCCCCAGTCCTGCCGATCACCGACACCTCCTTCCTTCAACGACGAGAACACTACGTACCTTCCCATCCTGGTACAACTTACGGTTTTAAACAAACTTTGAAAATTGTTGTATAGAAGGAACGTATTCATTGTGATTGTGATTTACAAATTTCAGGAACATAATTTTCAGCACCAAATATACCACATTAGTATAAGGTGGTAACTCGTGGTAGATGGTGGTGAAAGGTGGTTAATATATTTCAACTATCATGTATAAAACCATTCTAAACTAAGATATATACATAACAACATAGTACCTTAATACCACCATGGTATAATCTTATGTATCAGGTATCGCCACCATGTATAGACTAGTAATATATGTCTCGATTCTTTTGGACCAAAATATATTAAAGTGCATGTCATTTTGAAATGTATGATTTTTCTATGCAAAAAATTATGAATTATTATTTAAGTTATACATAATCAGTAAGCAACCAGCTTCTCCTTCTTGGTTGTTTCCAAAAGATGTTTTCTTGTAGGATCCTATCAGTTGTTGTAGTAATTTTATTCAAAGAAGTCTATAACCAAATCTACTCGACTTACCAACTATATATTTTCCCTTTCCATTTTCACATAACTCATCCTCGAAACCATGTTGACATTATTATATCCATATATTCTCTCACTCAAATTTCTAATAACTCATCATGTCATACTACTCCTCTC